AGTGACACCAGCAGTAGTTGTTGTTGGTGCATCTGTTGTGGTAGTAGTGACACCAGCAGTAGTTGTTGTTGGTGCATCTGTTGTGGTAGTAGTAACAACGGCTGTAGTTGTTGTTGGTACATCTGTAGTGTAAGTAGTGACACATTGTTGTAGTAGTGACAGTAGTTGTTGTTGTTGTGGTATCTGTTGTGGTAGTAGTGACACCGGATGTAGTTGTTGTTGGTGTATCAGTTGTGGTAGAAGTGACACCAGCGGTCGTCGATGTTGGTACATCTGTAGTAGTAGTAGTAGTGAGATCGGCTGTAGTTGTTGGTGCATTTGTTGTGGTAGTAATAGGATCGGCTGTAGTTGTTGTTGGCGCATCTGTTGTGGTAGTAGTGACACCAGCAGTAGTTGTTGTTAGTGCATCGGTTGGGGTAGTAGTTACACCAGCAGTCGTTGTTGTTGGTGCATCTGTTGTGGTAGTAGTGACACCAGCAGTAGTTGTTGTTGGTACATCTGTTGTGGTAGTAGTGACTCCAGCAGTCGTTGTTGTTGGTACATTCGTAGTAGTAGTAGTTAGATCGGCTGTAGTTGTTGCTGGTGCATCTGTTGTAGTAGTAGTGACATCAGCAGTAGTTGTTGTTGGTGCATCAGTTGTGTAGTAGTGACACCAGGCAGTAGTTGTTGTTGGTACATCTGTAGTTGTAGTAGTGAGATCGGCTGTAGTTGTTGTTGGTGCAACTTTTGTGGTAGTAGTGACACCAGCAGTAGTTGTTGTTGGTGGATCAGTTGTGGTAGTAGTGACACCGGCAGGTGTTGTTGTTGGTGCATCTGTAGTAGTAGTAGTGACACCAGCAGTAGTTGTTGTTGGTACATCTGTAGTTGTACTAGTAGTAAGATCGGCTGTAGTTGTTGTTGGTGCATCTGTTGTGGTAGTAGTGACACCAGCAGTCGTTGTTGTTGTTGGATCAGATGTGGTAGTAGTGACACCGACAGTCGTTGGTGTTGGTGCATCTGTAGTAGTACTAGTAGTAAGATCGGCTGTAGTTGTTGGTGGATCTGTTGTGGTAGTAGTGACACCGGCAGTAGTTGTTGTTGGTATATCTGTTGTGGTAGTAGTGACACCAGCGGTAGTTGTTGTTGCTGTATCTGTTGTGGAAGTAGTGACACCAGCAGTGGTTGTTGGTGTATCACTTGTGGTAGTAGTGACACCAGCAGTCGTTGTTGTTGGTACATCTGTAGTAGTAGTAGTACTAAGATCGGCAGTAGTTGTTGTTGGTGGATCTGTTGTGGTAGTAGTGACACCAGCTGTAGTTGTTGTTGGTGCATCTGTTGTGGTACTAGTGACACCAGCAGTAGTTGTTGTTGGTGGATCAGTTGTGGTAGTAGTGACATTTGCAGTCGTAGTTGTTGGTGCATCTGTAGTACTAGTAGTGACACTAGCAGTAGTTGTTGTTGGTGCATCGGTTGTGGTAGTAGTGATACCAGGAGTAGTTGTTGTTAGTGCATCTGTTGTCGTAGTAATGACACCTGCAGTCGTTGTTGTTGGTACATTTGTAGAAGTATTAGTAGTAAGATCGGCTGTAGTTGTTGTAGGTACATCTGTTGTGGTAGAAGTGAGATCGGCTGTAATTGTTGTTGGTGCAACTGTTGTGGTAGTAGTGACACCAGCAGTAGTTATTGTTGGTGGATCAGTTGTGGTAGTAGTGACACCAGAAGTTGTTGTTGTTGGTGCATCGGTTGTGGTAGTAGTTACACCAGCAGTCGTTGTTGTTGGTGCATCTGTTGTTGTAGTAGTGACACCAGCAGTAGTTGTTGTTGGTGCATCTGTTGTGGTACTAGTGACACCAGCAGTAGTTGTTGTTGGTGTATCAGTTGTGGTAGTAGTGACACTAGCAGTAGTTGTTGTTGGTACATCCGTAGTAGTAGTAGTAATATCGGCTGTAGTTGTTGTTGGTGGATCTGTTGTGGTAGTAGTGACACCAGCAGTAGTTGTTGTTGGTACATCTGTTGTGGTAGTAGTGACACCGGCTGTAGTTGTTGTTGGTGGATCGGTTGTTGTAGTAGTAACACCGGCGGTAGTTGTTGTTGGTGGATCGGTTGTGGTAGTAGTAACACCGGCAGTCGTTGTTGTTGGTGCATCCGTTGTGTGGTAGTAGTGGTAGTTTGTTGTTGGTGTATCTGTTGTGGTAGTTGTTGTGTAGTTGTTGTTGGTGCATGTAGTGTAGTAGTTGATAGTAGTCGGCTGTAGTTGTTGTTGGTGGCTCTGTTGTGGTAGTAGTGACACCAACAGTAGTTGTTGTTGGTGGATCTGTTGTGGTAGTAGTGACACCAGCTGTAGTTGTTGTTGGTGCCTCTGTTGTGGTACTAGTGACACCAGCAGTAGTTGTTGTTGGTGCATCTGTAGTAGTATAGTAGTGTAGTAGTGGTGTAGTTGTTGTTGGTGTATCTGTTGTGGTAGTAGTGACACCAGTAGTAGTTGTTGTTGGTGTAGTAGTCTGTTGTGTTGTAGTGCATAGTAGTGTTGATGTACACCAGCAGTAGTTGTTGTTGGTGTATCTGTAGTAGTAGTAGTAAGATCGGCTGTTGTTGTTGTTGGTAGTATCTGTTGTGGTAGTAGTGGTTGTTGTTGGTTATAGTAGTAGTGACACCAGCAGTAGTTGTTGTTGTATCAGTAGTGGTAGTAGTGACACCAGTGTAGTAGTTGTTGTTGGTGCATTGTTGTAGTAGTAGTAAGTTGTGTAGTTGTTGTTGGTGCATCTGTTGTGGTAGTAGTGGCACCAGCAGCAGTTGTTGTTGGTACATCCGTAGTAGTAGTAGTAGTAAGATCGGCTATAATTGTTGTTGGTGGATTTGTTGTGGTAGTAGTGACACCAGCAGTAGTTGTTGATGTAGTAGTGGTAGTACTTATTGGTGTAGTAGTGCTAGTAGTTGTTGGTGTAGTAGTGGTAGTAGTTGTTGATGTAGCAGTGGAAGTAGTTGTTATTGTACTGGTGGTAGTTGTTGATGTAGTAGTGATTGTAGATGTTGGTGTAGTAGTGGTAGTAGTGGTCAGTGTAGTAGTGGTAGTTGTTATTGGTGTAGTAGTGGTAGTAGTTGTTGATGTAGTAGTGGTAGTAGTTGTTGATGTAGTAGTGGTAGTAGTGTATTAATGGTATTAGTTGTTGTGTGGTAGTTGTTGGTGGTTTGTAGTATTAGTGGTAGTTGTTGTTGTGGTGGTAGTTGTTGGTGTGGTAGTGGACCGTGCAGTAGTGTTGTTGTTGGTGTGGTAGTTGTGGTAGTAGTTTGGTAGTAGTTGTTGTTGGTGGTCTGTAGTGGTAGGTAGTAGTTGTTGTAGTAGTTGTTGGTGCAGTAGTGGTTGTTGTTGGTGCAGTAGTTGTGGTAGTTTTTGAAGTAGTAGTGGTAGTAGTTGTTTGTGCATTAGTGGTGGTAGTTGTTGATGTGGTAGTGGAAGTAGTTGTTTGTGTAGTAGAGGTATTATTTGTTGGTGCAGTAGTGATGGTAGTTGTTGATGTGGCAGTAGTAGTAGTTGTTGATGTAGTAGTAGTGGTGGTAGGTGTTGATATAGTAATGGTGGTAGTTGTTGGTGTAATAGTGGTAGTAGTTGTTAGTGTAGTAGTAGTAGTAGTTTTTGATGTAGTAGTAGTAGTTGTTGTTGATGTAGTAGTGGTAGTAGTTGTAGGTGTAGTATTGGTAGTAGTTGTTAGTGTAGTAGTGGTAGTAGTTTTTGATGTTGTAGTAGTAGTAGTTGTTGATGTAGTAGTGGTAGTAGTTGTTAGTGTAGTAGTGATGGTAGTTGTTGGTGTAGTAGGTTGTAGTAGTTGTTGATGTAGTTGTGGTCGTAGTTGTTGGTGTAGTAGTGGTAGAAGTTATTGATGTAGTAGTGGTGGTAGTTATTGGTGTAGTAGTGGTGGTCGCTGTTGGTATAGTTGTGGTATTAGTGGTTTGTGTTGTTGGTACAGTAGTTGTGGTAGTTGTTGGTGCATTAGTGTTGGTAGTTGTTGGTGCAGTAGTTGTAGTAGTTGTTGATGTAGTAGTGGTAGTAGTTGTTGGTGCATTAGTGGTGGTAGCTGTTGATGTGGAAGTGGTTGTAGTTGTAGGTATAGTAGTAGTTGTTGTTGTTTTGTAGTAGTGGTGGTAGTTGTTGATGTAGTAATGGTGGTAGTTGTTGGTGTTGTAATGGTAGTAGTTGTTGGTGTGGTATTGGAAATAGTGGTTGGTGTAGTAGTGGTGGTAATTGTTCGTGTAGTAGTGGAAGTAGTTGTTAGTGTAGTAGTGGTAGTAGTTTTTGATGTAGTAGTAGTAGTAGTAGTTATTGATGTAGTAGTGGTGGTAGTTGTTGGTGTTTAAGTGGTAGTAGTTGTTAGTGAAATAGTGGAAGTGGTTGTTTATGTAGTAGTAATGGTAGTAGTTGTTGGTGTAGTAGTGGTAGAAGTTGTTGGTGTAATAGTTGTGGTTGTTGTTGATGTAGTAGTGGTAGTAGTTGTTGGTGTAGTTGTGATCGTAGTTGTTGGTGTAGTAGTGGTGGTCGCCGTTGGTATAGTTGTGGTATTAGTGGTTTGTGTAGTAGTGGTAGTAGTTGTTAATGTAGTAGTGGTGGTTGTTGTTGGTGTAATAGTGATGGTAGTTGTTGGTGTAGTAGTGGTAGTAGTTGTTGATGTAGTAGTGGTGGTAGTTGTTGGTGTAGTAGTGGTAGTAGTTATTGATGTAGTAGTGGTGGTAGTTGTTGATGTAGTAGTGATGGTAGTTGTTGATGTAGTAGTGGTGGTAGGTGTTGGTGTAGTATTGGTTGTAGTTGGTGGTGTAGTAGTGGTAGTAGGTGTTGGTGTGATAGTTCTAGTAGTTATTGATGTGAGGAAAGTAACCATCTCGAAAAAAGTTCATTACTTTAATTATTTAATATTGCGAGTTTGCTGTTACTGTTATTTGTCGTTGTTGGTGTGTGTGTGTGTGTGTGTGTGTGTGTGTGTGTGTGTTTTTTTTTTTTTTTTTTTTTTTTTTTTTCTATTTTTACTTACGGATATTTTTGAAACACATTAGAAATCCTGGCAGATTATCGCTGTTGTCAAAAAAGAAATCCACAACTACAGGACTTGGTAGATTCGTTTGGGTTTCACCTTGAAGTTGTCGCCTACATTTTTTAGGTCCAGTAGTACCTTGAACTAAAACAAAATATGAAAGCCTTACGTGTTATGTAGCAATATTTATTGACAAGGTTAAAGTTGACAGACAGATAGATAGATCCCACAAAAAATAATATGCCTCTGAACTTTCGATCTAGCGACATAAAACACCATCTGGAAACCGCAAAACACACAATATCTCCATTTGTTCTGAAACGTGTTGAACGTTGCAAAATTCAATAGATATAAATTTATATATGTAAAAGCAATAATCATATGGATATCAGTGTGACAAGTCGTAAGGTATGTTCAAAAATAATAATTTAAAAAAGAGAATAGCTTATGTTCAAAATGTAATACTTGTGTTTGAAAAAATTTCTATGTGTGTGTAGGAATGTTTTGTGTGTGAGTGTTCTATAGATAGACTCAAGGGATACTTAGAATATTACTGAATATTGCGATTCTGTAAAATTATTTTCACACTCAATATAACGTCATTGATAATCGTTCTAGGCTATAACACCGACGCATGTTCCAATTACATTAAAGAAGACTTTTCATGATGTGTTATCGGTTTAAAGTGTCAAGAATTTTACAATATAGATAAAGAACGCTTTTCACAACATGTTACCGACTGATAGTGTTTAGACTATTACACTTTATGGAAGGAAGGCATTCCATGAAGTGTTACCGACTGATATGTTTAAGGCCTTTACACTATAAATAATAATTTTAAAAATCCACGACATGATACCGATGAAAAAAGGGTTTAGAATTTATACACTATTGGTAAAGCATGACGTGTTACCGACTGATAGTGTTAAGACTTTTACACAATTTACACTATATATAAAAATTCCATTATGCGTTATTAATTGAACGGATTTAGCCTACTACACTGTAGATACTTAATATAATGTGTTACCGACTGATAGGGTTTAGCCTTTTACACTATAGGTAAAGAAGTATTTCGTTTCATATTACCAGTTATCGTTAGAAAGTCCCCGTCGTTACAGCCGGTAGTTGCTTCTAAATGAAAGAAAATCATGTTGTACTGGATTTGTCCATTCGTCTGTATTGTCCATTTACAGTTTGTGTTAATCCTGTAATTTCAATGATACGTTAACAAAGACAAGGAGACATGGCATTACATACATACTTGTTAAACATTAGACATTTCTAACAGTATAACAGATTCACTTGATAAGACTTTTGAACACGTTCCCTGAATGAAGCGATGTAACAAGCTCTCTTCACGTATCGTTATATCAAGTTTCTTCGATGAAACAGTAAAAAGTTTCCTTGTCAAGAACAAGATCCGTTGTTGAGAGCGTGTATCAAGTGCCTTTGATACATCCCTAGATGGGACCGTATAATAAGTTCAGTTGAATGGACATACAGCAAACTCCATTCATATGAGAACGTATAGGATCATTTGATGAGAAAATTTAACAAGCTCTCTTCATGAAACTGTATATTAAGCTCCCGTAATGAATGAAATACAAGAAATACCAATTCGTACATATTACAAGTTCTCTTGAGAAAACGATAGAACAAGTTCCCTTGATGAGATAATAACACAAGTTCCCTTGATGAGACTATGACAACTTCCATGAATGAAATCGTACATCAAGCTAATTTGAGGACTTCATTAGACTGCACATGAACAAAGGTACTCTAATGCAATTTGAAATAACGGCAGTTGTCAAACCGATCCCAAATATCAGTCTCTAATTCTGCTCGGAACGTAGTTCGTAAGGACATTGTACGTAGAGGAATGCTACTCACTTCCTCGTTAAGTTCGTTTGCCAATTGGCGGAGATTATTTGCCTTAAGCCTATTTTCCACAGCTTTTGGGTGAATTCGACGGTTTCCAGTACCATTTCGTGCCGTTTCGGTTGCCGTTATGCTCTTTCTTGTCCTGCAACTGGGCAAGCCTAATGAACTGATCTTGACGTCGCGACTTTACACGCGGACGTCCGGATCTTCGTCTGTCATCAACTCTTCCTTTGGCGTCGACAAGTAAAACTAACCGACTTATAGTCAAGTTGGGATAGCCGTGGCATATTTGTAACAAAAATGATTGCAAATATATTGGTAATTACAATCTTGGTGATAAAAATCATCACTAGTTCGAATGGAAAAGAACTCATGCATTTGAACAATTACGGTTTAATTGGTAATTTAGGTGCTACGGATGTGGATAGGTTCTGAGTCACGGATGATGGATTTATTTATTCATTAATATTTTACATGTAAAGAAATTGCGTTTTCTTATCCTTTCAGTATATTATGAATATCATTTACAAAGTCATCTTTACCATTGTCACGGTTCTTTGTGCTACCACACAACCACTGTAAATGGATAACAGACATATTTGACCATCAAAACATAGTTATATCGGAACAAGATGACGATGTCAGTGTGGAAAGGCAACTGACTCACAAAGGCTTATTAACCAGAGGTATTTTCAATTCGGCGAAGACAACTAAAATGTGTATGAGCGTGCACAATCCGGTGATGAACTCCAATTGTCATCATATGAAAGAATATTTCAGGGCGGAGTGACAAAATGCCGACAGGTAGTTGAATTGCTTTTTAAATACTGCAATTGACAGGATTTCCACAGCAAACCATTAATTAACTGAAAAAAACTGCTTTCGTTATATTCATTTATAAAACGACTGAAAATGTGAATTTTGAATATATTTTTGTATCTTAAAATAACAAAATAAAAGAAATAAAATAAAACACACTCACAGAGGCGGTGATTCTGGAAAAAGAGGCGAGGTGATGCATCTGTTAGTTACGGTGGCCAAGTCGATTGTCTCTCCAGCATCAGAATCACATGCAGTAGCTGGCGATTTAACATGTAACTATTATCTCATCATTAATGATAATTCAGTCAAATTGATATCTTTTCATAATTTCTTGTCGGGAATGAGTTAAACGTTATATTGATAATCCGAAAATATAAGCTGTATTTGGCGAGAGCTTTGCATTTTCAAAATTAAGGCCCTTACCATCACTGACGAGTTCTAGAAAGACGCAACAGCTGTATGATGAAGTTAAAGTCATTGTTTGGTAGTACTGTATCTAACGTTTTGTATACAAGCTACTATTCACTTGAACATGATTTTCTAAGACCACGTGATCATTTTGAGAAATGATTATTAGCATAGCATATTAGTTTTAAAAACACAAATGAAAAAGCGATCTACCGTGCCGAGCATTTATAATTAATAAAAGCGTTCTAACGTATTCTAGACTTCATTAATATCTCGTTTTCTAACTACTGTAATCTCTAGACAACTGTGGTATTTTAATATCAATTTGGTTGCGTAACTTGACATTGGGATTAGTATATACCAAAAATGTGTCCCAGCGAATATACGGAACATCATAGCTGGTACATAAGTTACATAGACATGAACACTCTGTCCAAAGCCGAACGTGGTCAGGGATACACCAAAGTAAATAGCGTTGTATAAAAAGAAGAGAGAAGGTCATATATCAAAGTTGCAATCCTCTTACGACCAGGCAATGGAGGCAGTAGGTACAATTATTACTTTCTAACTGCAAGGTACTGTGGTTCCAGTTTTCCCGCAAAACCCTTATATTATTTCAATTTAGACTTAAGACCTTATTAGAAGCTCCCAATATTTTTCCATCATAGAAGTACAGGTATAGTGCTAAATAGTGAATCAGACTACGTCATGTGTCTGTTTTGACCTTCTAGAACTAGTGAGTGAAAAGCTGAGGAAAGTGATTGAAATAGTGTCGAATTCTAGATTGGATGGTGCATTAGCCTTATAAATGCAAAGCAATATGAGTAGTTTTTATGTCTGATAATTTCGAAAAAACGTTAAATAGATATGTACATCCTGATCCTGAATCGTGCCATGTTTGAATAAATTCAGGCTTAGCATGTAGGTTACGGCAACTTCGGGGATTAAATAAAGGTCAAGGAGCAGTATTAACCGCCTTGTGAATTGTACAAATAATATCTTTAATAACACCTTTAAACATAGTTTAGTACATTTACATACGGTAGTACCAAAAAACGAACTCTTTATAGAATTATACACTATTACCAGATTATCTGCACATGGATAATTTAACATTGATAGTCCAAGTACTTTACATTTAAATTAATTAACATATACACCTTCAAAATGCAAACAAAACAAAAAATAAAGTCCTGGTTTTGATGATTTAACAGTTGAATTTTAATGTATTATGGTATCAGTCATGTCAATTAATTTTAAGTTAACTTGTTACACGAAGACTCTCAAAAGAACAACAACGGGAATCAAAATTTGCATTTCAAATCACAATATATTTGACAACAATTTAACTACTCTAGAACAATAGCATTTCTTAAGAACATCTGTAAATTGTCATCCGGTAAAATAGCTAACAACATTAAAACTGGTCACTGGCCACCAGAAATGGGTGGTCGGTTGGTGCAGTCGCCTTTCGCCTAGACACCATGGATTTGATTCCGGACGGACATGAAAAGGTATGGGGTCACCTGCCCAAATACGTGGGTTTTCCCTGGGTACTCCGGTTTCCTCCTACACTAAGGCCCCTAGCTCACTTCTATCTGGGCCATCAAGAGTGACTGATTTATGTTGGGAAAAGCTGTTTTGTAATTGTTGTTAAATAGATAAAGCTAACTTATTTAAAATCAAAACTTAAGAAAATGGATATGTAATGACCAAAATGGCTACATTTTCGGTAAATGGTTTATTTATCATGTTGCGCAGTATGCAAAAAACAATATATCTTGATTTTTTTTTATCTTGAATGAATTTTGAGAACGTTTTTCACTTCATTTCCTTGGACTTCTAAATATAAACATATTTAAACATGTATTCTTTTTGGAAACGATCTGTATGTAAAGATATAACCGGTCCATGATATTCGAATTTTTGTATGATTAACTTTGTTGGAGATTTTCTTTCTATATTCAGACAGTTTATGAACTGACCAACAGAATATGATATTTTTTTTTATTATTTTGATCGAGCGAATAACTGCACAAAAGAAATACAGATTATCTGTTATATATCGTTATGAATTTGTCATTCGAAAATAATGACATGATAATATCACCTGTGTCTGTTCCAGTCGTCTGCACGACTGCTAGGTATTTGAATTGCAGCTCTTCTGCTTCACTTCCAGATGGTGTAACCGCTGTAATGACATCAATTCTAGCTGAGGCACCTCCTAATTTTAATGACACGCTCGCCGATCCAGTAATTTTCGCGAGAATGTTACCTGTAAATTAAGTCATTACTCTACTGAGCAGCATTCAATATGATATGCTGTAATTTAATTCGAGGTATAATATCAAATTGGTGAACGGAAATAAATATCTATTAGTTACATACCATCAGAAATCTCTCATGCGTATATTCAATATCCAGTCTAAATGATAATTGTGAATGACTTCATTGGCTCTACTGACTAGCCTGAAAATGACACCAATAGCTTCACTCTGAATGTTCACTGAAACTCTGCTCTGAATATTTTAGAGTTACGAATCCCGAGAAAATTTATACTGATCTCTGAAATAACGCAGAACAATAAGACAAGATTTTCATCGGTTTTACTTTTATTGCACTTGTCATAACCCTCCTACTTTTCCTGTCTGTGTCGGTATATCTGTTGAAAAATATCAAACATCTGTTTTATTGGCTCCTTATTTGAAACAGTATTATCTCGATTTACTGCCACATGACTGAACATTTTGTATTTCACGATCTCAACAATGTGCGTATTTTATCTTGTTTGTTTATTTTAATGCTCTAAAGCAATACCGGCACGGCACTCATACAAATATGTAGACATTTGATTTACAAACAAACGTTTTCAAATGTGTTAACTCGTGCATTTTTCATAGCCATTGTCGAAGTATTTCACACACACGAATCTGTTATCCATCAAAATATTCTTTTGTTTTTACTATACAGTCATTCCGTTAATTTCAGATACATATATAGAAGTGCAACGTACTACTAACCTTCGTCATTCAAGAGCTGCACTTCATTACCACTTTGTAATGAGACTCTACTAAGTTCCACGGCTATTTGTGCTCCTGAAGGTGCAGAGATTTTCCATGAACATCCGGAGCTGAAAATACGACATTGATAAACAAATTATTAATATCGTTCTCCGAAAGTCTTGTGACATTGGCGTCTCGGGGATTTTCTAAATATACACCCAGGCATTTTAAACTAAAATTTGGATGTATCATCGTGTTAATTCTTATGTTTGTTTATTGATTTGTTTAATTGGTGTGTATACCTAATATCTCCTGTACCCCTGTGTAAACTAGAAACAACAAGAAATTCAAATCTAATAGAACTAAGGCAAAATATTGATAAAAGAAAGATATTGCCAAAGGAAATGTTTACATGGAGGCCCTTGAACATGTACACAGAGAATAAGGTTTTCCGGAAGAGTAAACGTTACTAAGGTCATGGTCTCAAATGCGACCAATGTATACAAATATCGGAAAATAATCAATGAGCAAAAAACGCACCAAGCTTCATAACGCACAGAAATAAATGATATTTTCAGTGAGATCACAAACATGATCTACAAACTTTCCCATAATTTTCCTTAACTTGCATCTTTGGAAACACTGTGTTATGAGTTTGTCAGCCAGTTTACTTTTTCTTGCGCGAAAATCGTGATATTGGGAACATGCCCTCGTATATCGAAATAACTGCGAAATGTAAATACTAAAGGTTGGGGATGCCAGAATATTGCTATTCAGAAATAGAAAATTCTCAAAAGGAAATTTGAAATTATCACGCTGATCATATAGCTTGGTGAAGTCCTGACTTTGATTTATAAGTATAATGAATACAGTTACATAAGTCCCACATATTATTCCACTAACGCAAAGCAATGCTTATTAGCTCATATTATCTATATTAGAGACCTGACCTCTAGAGTACATACTCTAGACCAACCAGAGAGACAGTCAAATATAACTCAGGTAAAGCATAGTCAGTCAGTTGACTCAAGCATAAACAATATCAAAGTTTCGAAGTTTAAATATTTGTGGCCGCCATGTTTGCTGTTCGATCAATAGACTGATTACATCGTTGTATTCCCTAAATTAGATCACACCTATGAACTTATTTTAATTAAAATTGGTTATCATTTAAATGTCGTTTCCAGCACCAGTCATCTTAAATTTTGAAAAAAACAAATCTCGACATTGATATACATGTAAAGTTTCATTTCAATTTGACCATCGGTTGTTGAGTTATAACCTGTTAAATTTCAACCAAGCAGAGTTTGCTGAAATGTAAATCTGGGGCTATATCAGTGCCCGGTATCCTACATTCATTCTGCATATCAGCCAAAACAATATCATGGATTTTAATGGCTGTTTTAGGGGTTGTAACACTGACAGATCTTCCATGACGGGCGTCATGTCCAAGGCTCAGCCTGCCACGCTAAAATTCTGACACCCGCCTATTCACAAAAGGTAAAAGACAAATGCTAAAAATCATAAATCGGTATGTTAACACAAAATATTAAAATTGTACGTCATAGTCTATTATATAGACCAATATCTTTCAGGTAATGTAGAATTTTACAAATCTCAACAGTTTCAAAAAGGGTTTTTAGATTTGTAATGTTACGATAGAAACATTCTCGAGTAGGCAGAAGGTCAATACAGTCCAATAAAAAAATGTTTAACGGTGAATGGCTCATCACATCCTATGCTTCGCCTTTCAACATATATGAATGTGGAAGTATGTATGACCCATCCGAAGACGGGCAAGGACAACTTCGTTTGGGTGGTTGTCTCTATAGCATGGAGACCGTTTACCGATATATAGGATTTACGGAGTGCCATAGGCACGTATATTACATTGCGCCTACCACTGACCTATTAAAATTTGTTTAATAAATGGTTTAAAATCTGTAAAATGAAGTTTAAAATCAACAGGTGGAAGCGATAAAGCTTCCTTTGCGGCACGATCTGCCTTGTCATTGCCTGGTATTCCCATGTGCCCAGGAATCCAGAAAAAAAAATACGAAAGTTAAAGGTAACTTCATGAGATAGTATTAATGTATTACGAATGAAAATATTTTCGATATTTCTATTGCTAAGACTTTGTAAAACTGAAAGAGAGTCTGAATGGATAACAGTTCTCATTACTTTGTTTCTTTGAATATATTCGTAGGTCGATAGCTCGCGCTTCTGCCGAGAGTATTGAGGTTGCGAGGTTGCTCGAGAACAAAGCGCAAAACCGCATAACCGCCCCTCAACCACCAGAATCCTTTCTCCCAGTACTTTCGGGACGCAACCCACGGCAGGCAGGTTGCCCCTTTCAATGGACTTGTACCACATGCAGTAGGATACAGCGGATATATTCTAACCCCTATCCGCAGAGGACGGTATCCTACACTGCACTGCATACAGCGATTTTGTCCATTTTGCAAAAATCACATGCCTTGTTTGCTTTAGAGTGCTACCTCTTCGATATTAACTGCTTAATTTATTCAAATACAAGGCTCACAACTTATCAGCCTTGTTTCCACAATGTATTTATTTGCTTTAGAGTGCTACCTCTTCGATATTAACTGCTTAATTTATTCAAATACAAGGCTCACAACTTAGTCAGCCCTCGTATCACTAATGAACTAATTCCACAATGTATTTATTGGTGTTTTCATCGTTAATTAGGACAGCTATGTAGAAAGATTAGGACAAGCGGAATGATATCACTAAGAGCAAGATGGGAATTAAAGATAAACTATCTTTAGTTAGTTCAAAGGTGACACTGGAGAAAGAAGGCCGATCAATGTACATGAAAAGGACAGTGCCATTAAGGGTTAGGAAACAACAACTGAAGGAGGATGAAACACCCAATCGGAAACAACAACAACTAAGCATGAAAGTAAAGTTACGATGGACTTTGAGTTATGCAGGTTTGTCTCTCTCAAAGTTTTCGGTCATTTGTTTATTGTCAAGGAATGGCTTGCAATATTGGTCATTACGTTTGGAAAAATATTAGTGTTTAAAGGCTAGAGACCTAATTTCAATCGGAAGGCAGAAGTAAAACCCATCCATACAAACTGCCGTTTGAATTGATATCCTTATGCACCTTATGCACTTCAGTATGAGTATATTCTCGTTATTTTGGATCGTTATACGTGGTTTGTACAAGCCTACTCCACAAGAAATATTACTGCGGAAACAGTAGCTAACCGAATATTTAACGATTTTATACCTCGATTAGGTTTCCCAGCAAGAATCCATCAAGAACAGAGAAATTAAGTACATTCAATGACAACCCCTTTTAACCCTTCAGGAAAAAGTCAGTGCGAGAGAATGATTCTGACTTGGAGACACATTTCAACAAGATTGCGATTGCATACAATTGTACCGAACATGAATCTACAGGACATACACCCTTTATACACTTTATGGGCGATCATCTAGGTAACTATTGATATCATGTATAGACGTAACTTCATGGTACTCCAAAGACGATCCTGATCTGGAAAGAGTGTTTGAGAAAAGCTGACACAAGAAACATGTCCATGAAATACAAGACGCATTAAGACCAGGGACTCAAGAACTCAATTTTCAAGCCAGGAAATCAAGGCTTGTGCGAAACATGCCTGAAAAGAGATTCTAGTAAATTGAGGTCAATTTGGTAAAAAAAAGATCAATGACTTACAAAACAAATTATCCTATCATTTACCTGATGTCAAAACAGAAAATTAAAAGGGAAAATGTTACTGTTACGATGTGATATCCTACCATTCGAAAAGAGACCAGTTCTGAAAGAAGCAGTTAAGCCTCAAAGGGAGTCAAGAGAGCAGTGGCGGCGAATGAATTTCAGGCGATAATTGTTGTGTTGCCTACAATCAACAGAAGGACGTGGGTGATATAAAAGGAAAATTACCTCAAATCCGTCACAAAACTACCGTAGTGTTCAGAAAGACCTCCCAAAGGAGGATTTATTGGATGTTCGTTTGGAAGTAATGATCAAGAAGGAGCAGAATCATGATCGTCAGCAAAAGACTCGTGTGATAAACAATTGAGTGACCCGAAATCAGCGATTCGAGAGAAATCGTCAACCACCTCAACCAATGACTTGGTAAAAAAAAATGTGGAGATATCTATCAATGTGCTTGAAGTTCCAAAAAATCCTGCTGTCGATATGGCTGGAATGTGGAATCAAGACAGTTGAGTATGTGGTAATAAGTTAGGAAATTTGTGTATATTTTGCAGTATTTGGAGGTCCAGTTGTACCGGTTTTATGAATATTGATGTTTTGCGGACATGAAAACTAATAACCAGAAACGTTCGAAAATCCTGTTGTCAATATGACTGGAATGTAATATCCAGGTAGTTGCATGTGTTGCAGTAAGAAAACTTGGATGTAACAGGTAAGAAGTAAACAATTCAGGTGATGCCATTATTTCATTAGCACCAGGATAACAACGTCCTTTTACATAGTTCTGAATAAAATTATTACTAAGGAAGCTTGCCTCCTGTGTTTCAGGTCACCATATATCATCTCCTTCGTGCAACAATTAGTTAGAGTCTGTTAGATAAGAACAACCTGGATAAGACTGTATTATGATTGTACTTACGCAAACCCTGATGGGCATTTCACCAGGATTGTATTCAACTGGTTGAGTGTAGCTTGTATTTCGATTAAACCGCTACAACAGGGAGACTGGGTACTTACTGGATAACAAACAAAAAAAAATCAAGAAAAACCAACATGTCAATACGATCCTAATCCAAACTCAAATCAGGTAAAACTACGGCAAAATTTGAACAAAACAAATATTTACACAGATTCTTATAAAAAAGTGCAAGGAGAAAAAGACCAGCTGTTCTGGAAGAGAAAACGTCTTCTGCTTCATCCACGACACTCGCAGTGGAACCTTGTTTAATCCAAGTAAGTAATGTCACATTCTTAAATGAGATCATTATGATTTCCATAAAACTTCTCCATAATTTCAGCCGGCCTGCGTCAATTGACAACGAAAATCGTGATAATGGAATCAGGCAACATTGAAACAGCTGTGACATGTAAATATCATAGGTTGGTGATGAAGGGATATTGCTATCCAGAAATCGAAAATTCACAACAGGGTAATTGAAATAATCACGTTTATCATATAGCTTGTTGGAAATCAGTCTATATTAGTTCCGTTGTAGGACAAGATCTAGATAATGCTGGTTATTTAGTGAACAGTATACTTGCTTTTATGCACTTGCTGAAGATTAAGTTATGAATTTTGTAAAGTTGTCAATACATTTAATGATCATTTTAATGATTTATTTAGTTACAATATTATAACTGAAGTTGATCCCTGGAATGAGAATATATCACCTACTGCAAATTTTATCTTCATTATCGACATTTTTACATTACACACAAACTGACGGAGAAAATTTAATCAGAATACATCATAAAGATCCACATAATATTTCAATGACACATTTGAGCATATCATTATCATAAATTTCTCCAGTGTCGGTGTCGCTCTTTTGCCTTAAAAGGAAAGATGACCGCCATCTTTAGGCTAGAGTCAAAATGCATGAGTATATCGGGGATAAGATAAGGAAAATTGTCCAATAAAATGCGTTACATAACCATTATTTCAGAATGTGAGATTAGACAACCATACGAAAAGCGGCAGTTGATCGATATTT